CAGGAACCCTGATCTCCATCCACCAGGGACGCCGCTAATACTTACGGCCCAGCTTCACTCCGGGCGGCGGGAAGCTCGTGCCCGCGCTGGGGCCGCCGCTGCCTCCACCGCCGCTGCCGCTGGGACCACCCCCGGAGCTCGAGGCCCCCACGCCCCCACCCATGGCTCCGACTGACGCTTTCCCGCCGCTGCTGCCGCCCGGACCGGAGGCCGAGCCCCCAGGGCCGCCACCACCGCCGCCGCCTCCGCCGCCTGGCTCCGCGAAAGAGCTGGTCCGCGGCCGGCCCGAGCCCACAGAGACGCCCGTCGAAGGAGCGCCGCCGCTCATGGCGCCGAGCGCAGGCCCAGGCCGCGGGGCTCGGGCTGCCCGGGCTGCCGCTGTCGCCGCCGCCTCCCCCGGCCTCCGGCCTCTTCCAGGCCGCGCCGCTTGGGCTCAGCTCCGGCCCAGCGCTCGCCGCTGGGCACGCCGGGAGATGCAGTCCGCCTGCCCTCCGCGCCGCTGTCACCGCCCTCTGCTCGGAGCCGTGTGGCACGTCGGGAAATGTAGTCCACAAAGGCCTCAGAGGTAAACCGCACTTACACGTCGGGAAATATTGTTGGCGATAACTCAGTCGCCTATGTCCACAGCGGACCCTAAAGTAATAGGGGAAGCTGACTCAGACTCGCACACTCACTACTCTGAGGCTACTGTGAGCCTCTCATTATGTCTCGAAAATGTAGTCGCAAACACTCCGTCAAAGACTTGATGCACGCCGGGAAATGTAGTCTTGTAGTTCACTGTGTCGATTGGGTGTGCATGCCCCCCGTGCCAGGTGCACTCTGGAAAATTGAGTCGGCTCTGGAGGACCCGCAGATGCCGGCTCTTGAGGCAAGCCGGGAAATGGAGTCGTCGACACACCCTCACTGCATTGCAGGTGTAAAGAGACTCCCAAAGCACGCCGGGAAATGGAGTCCCATGTGGTCTCTAAACCCCCCCCCCCCCCCCCGCCCGTGGATACCGCAGTTCCGGAGTCAAGCTAAGAAATGGAGTAGGTATAGGGCTCCTCCTTCCTCATACGCTAGGCCGCAGTGTCTTCCGGGATACGTAGTCAACACACAGGAAGACTTCGGAGCAGTTGCTACAGCGAGCCCTTGTGTCTTCTGGGAAATGGAGTTCCAGGAAGCCTTTCCATTGACTGAGGGGAGGGATCTACCATGAGCCCGAAGCATGCTGGGGAATAGCCCATGCCGGATCCAGAAACTAAGACAAGACTGCCTACCCTCGCCGGAAAGTGGAGTTCAATGGGTACCTTTGACAAAGCGTGAGCGAGAGCGAAAGGTGAAAGACGGCAGTTCCTTGTGGAGACCGAAGAGTGTTTCAACGCCTTCTTCCCTTCCCCCAGGCCCTAAGAAAGAGCCGAAGTCGACTAGGGGTTGCTGGAAAATGGAGACCAATTTCCAAGTTTCCACAAATCGGGAAGGAAAAACTCCCTCCAAACGATTTGGGAAACAAAGTTCCTGGCGATTTATCAGAACTATAGTCTTCGGATACAATGTAGTTGTTTTCTATCATTGTGGGTTGTACCAGGAGGTGAGCAGAGCGTTAAAAAAAATAGATTTTGCTTTAAACCCTCATTCAGCTTTTTGCGTCCTCCTGCTTACTAAATTACGGGATTTTGGAGATCCCAAACAGCGAAGCGTTCGGTTTTGTGCACATATTATGTTTCCTCATTTACCAATTAATATCTATAAGGACAGTAGCGCCAAAGGGAGCTGGGAAACAGAGTTCGTGTGAGTGTGTGTCCCGGAAATACTTGGAACTAGAATGAAAAATCACCCTCAAGCTCCTCCTGCCTCGTAGAATGGTGGGAAACGCAATTTCCATACGTCACTTTAATCCGAGATTATGTTCATACTAAATATTCTGCCCTTTCTGAAGTCTGAAGAAAGTTTCGTCCCCTCAGTCTGCCTGACTTCAATTCCCAACGGTCGTAGACCCCCGGGGCGGGACAGACTATAGAGATAAAGCCTTTTCCGACTACATTAACCAAAAGGCAGAGCGCAGATATACTTCCGCTCCCTTCTCAATGAATGAGGCAGCATCACGAACAGCCCGGAGCAGGTGTTTCTGGGAGTTGTAGTTTCTCAGCCAAACGGCTTCTACTGCCCTCTAACAGCAGTTCTGAGTCGGAAAGCAATCATCTGAGTCAAGCCCCAAAACTTGGGAAATCCTATACTGGACCAAGAAGGCTCAGAAGGGCAGCGGAGCGGGACAGAATAGCGGCGGTTACTTAACGGCCAGAACCGGTGGTTCATGCACGGTGGACCGTGCGTAGGCAACTGTCACGAGGGGATTGGGACCCGTGGGAATCTAAGGGACACTGTGGCGATCTTAACTAGGATGTTTGTAGGGGCTGAAAACTTTGTTGAGTGATACTAGGGCGGGTTGTAGGTATCTTTGAAGGGCCTATGGGTGTCTGGAGGTACTCAGGGGAGTCCATGAAGAGAAAGGGCCTTACTGGGGACCAGTAGATAAGTCAGAGGGGACTTGGGGTGTTTTTAAGCCGTCTGCGAGAGAATGTGAGAAAATACTGCTTAAGGAGGGGTATCTGAGGGACCTGAAAGGATGAAGGATGGTTGAGGAGCATCAAGAAGGAGCTTTGGGTGTCTGGACATGCTTTATAGGTATGAAGGGAACGTCTGATGGGATGAATTAATTGAAGTGTCTACTGGGAATCAGAGATCCTAGAGGATGCATAAGTGAGCTAGGGTGTGGTCTTGCAGAAAGTGTAAACAGAATTAGGTGGGTTATTAGAGATTAGAGGATCCACTGGAGTGGATCCACTAATCTCTAAAATCCACTGGAGTTTTCAAGACCAGAGGCCACCCGTGACATCCCAGTCAGCCAGAATTGGGGGCAAGTCTGTTTGGGCCTGGTCGGATCTGGAGAGCAGTTCTGGAACTGAGAGCTTTTGCATCCATGTTAGACCTGGATAGAGGTGCTTTGAAGGCACTGAGACTACAGCCAGGGTCTTTCCCCCTCCCCCTATTGATGACATCCCCCTTGACCCATCACATCACCACCAACTCAGCTGTATCTATGTTGCCAGGAGATATGCCTGATCCCAACTTCCAGAAATAGCCCAGTGGCCCCCACCCCAGGGAATGACTTACATCACCCAGGAGAGGGAGCAGTTGCCTGCAGGCTGCCACTGGATCCTCAGTTTCCTATCAGTACCCCAGCCCTGGATCCTCTCATCATTGCCATCAGGACATCATTTGAGACCACCCACCCTGGGCTGTTATGAAATGAGGTTGAAGAGTGGATAGGAGTTGCCAGTTCCTTCCCCTTCAGAGTTGCACAGGGTGGGGTTTCGGTGAAGCCATTCCAACAGGCTGGTCCCACTGTTCTCACTCTTAGCAGCTGTGTGGCTTTGGGGAACTCCTTCCCTCTCCGAGCCTCAGGCACCTCACCTGCAGTGGAGTTGGGCTGTCATGAAAAGCACTTCCACTCAATTTCTCCAATTTTTTCCATCTCTGATGGGAGGTGCCCAACCTGGGATTTGAGCTTGATGAGCTCACCTAGATCCAACCATCCTGACTTTGGGAGGAAAACTAAGGTGAAGAGCTTCCAAGACACACCTTTTAAAGTCCTGGCTGGTCTTAGGACCTTGGGCAAGTAATTAACTGAATCATTGGCTGCTACCTCATTTGATGTTTGGGATCAAGAATCACAGTTCCTAACTACTAGGTCCTAGATACAGTGGGTACAGTAGGTCCACCAATAGCCATTCTGATTAAGCCAGTCTTGTCTCAACTTGGTGAAGGGTAGTCCCACATGGTTCCATGGGAAGATCACTAGCGTCCCTTGCAAGGTCTACACTTCAACAGACTGCAGGCCTGTCCCCAAAGGACTGGAGACTCAAGTGCTATAAGGAAAGTGATGTGCTGGAAGGCCCTATAGTACACAAGGAGGTCCAGGTCTTTACCAGAGCCTGGGAATGTGGATAGGAATTCAGAGGCAAAGAGGAAAGTCATTTCAGGCAGTAGGTGAAGATTCTAAGTGCTTTCAAGGACAAGCAGCCCCCACACGATAGGAAAGCAATCACATGGTTAGAGTATGCCCAACTTTAATCAGGCCCTGGGGGCAATGTGCCCATCAGGTCAAAAGATCACTTCCCAGGCCTGGATTTGATCCATTCAGGTGGGGTTAGGCACTCCGGCCATAGATGCATTGAGGAGTCAGTGCAGGCCCATCCTTCAGAAACCTACACAGGCTATGGCTCTGCAGTGAGAAAGATCACTCCATCCAAAGGTCCAAAGTTTTATTGTTTTGAATACATTCTCCAGCAGCCCCCAACTTTCCTCCCCCCACCCTCCATCCCCAATACAGAATAAGGCTTGACCACAGACCCCCCCCACCCCAAGGGGCCCCAGCTGGGAGGCAGAAGGGGCTTCCAGTTTGGTTTCAGGGTACACCCTTCCCACCCTCCCACCCGCCTGCCTATGGGCTGGTCCTAGGAGCAGCTGGGGGTGAAGGGGTTGGACCAGTGCTGGGGTGAGGAGTGGAAGAGGGATAGCAGGCACTTGTAGAGATTTGTGGCCTATGGTGGCACCCCTCACCCTCCTCTGACCCCCCACCCCCCCATACACATGGAATTTTTGGTTCATCATAAATGTCCATCCCTCCCATCGTAACCCTATGAGGTTAGAAACCCAGGCACTCATGGCCCCTGGAGGGGCAGGGAAGGCTGGATTTGGGCTGAGAATGGCTGGAGGTGGACAGGGAGGCGTACAGGAGGCACAGAACAGGGAAGGAGACAAGGCTTTACTTCCTAAGTGATTGTAATAAAAAAGTTCCTGGGCATCGAGGCCAGAACCTCAATTGATATATAAATTCCCCAGAATGGAGCTGGCCCCCGTTCCCTCCCCACAACCACCACTTTGCCTGGAGCTTAGAAACCCACAGAGATGGGACAGCCCCCAGCCCTGGGTACCCACCCACCCTCACAATTAAAAAGAAATTAAGTTTATACAAAATACAAGGAAAGGAAAGGGAGGAGGCAAGGAAGGGACTAGAGCTGCCCTCACCTCCAGGACACTGGGGAGTTAAGGCAGCAAAAGAAGCACTGGGAGTGGGGGAACGGGGTCCCCTGCCCATAGCCCTCAGGAATCTCGATGCTCCAGAGAGAGCTGGGCTGTGGCATGCTGGAGGTCAGAGCTCACCCTCCTTGGGGTGAGGGGACCCCCAGCCTCCCCGGGTCCCTCCCCACGCACCTTCTTGTCCTCACCCTCATCCTCAAGGCCCCCAGTGGGGGCCCCACCACCACCCTCCAGGCGACAGTCTTCACTCCAGCGCCGTTTAAAGCGCAGCTTGAGAGGCATGCATTGCGCAGGCCCAGGTGTCTCGCCGGGCTCAGGCTTGGGAGGTGCAGGAGGAGCACGAGGTGTCTTGAACACCTCCCCGTCTTCCTCATCCTCATCGCTGATGTCAGTCACCTCCACCTCCTCTGACTCGCCTTCTGAGATTGGCTCCACCTTGATCTGTGGTGGTGGAGGTGGTGGGGCCAGTGCCCCTGCCCCCTCAGCCAGCCCACCTGTGCTGCCAGCACTGCCAATGCTGCTGCTCGTGTCAGCGCCTGCTGGAGCCTTTTCCCCAGCTGCCCGCTGCCGACGTCCCAGAGGGGGTGGCTGGAGCTTAAACTTGAATGGGGAAGAAGAGGAGGACGAGGCCGAGGAGGGGACCGGTGGGGTCTCAGGTGCCATGGGCGGCAGCGGGCACTTGTCAGGGCGCTGGGGCTGGGGCACCACCAGCCCAGGGTAGTGCAGGAAGGCGCGGGGACTGAGGTGGTAGTTGTAGACGCTTTGGGTGTGGGCCTGTAGGTACCGTTTCATGTCCTCAGGGCTGAAGGAGAAGTGGGAGCCTCCCCCTGAGCCACTGGGGCCCCCGCCACCACTGGGATACATAGGGCTCAGCGTAGGTGAGGGCGTGTAGGCCAGGTGGGTGGGCGTCATGGGCAGGGCCGGTGAGAGCTGAGGCGGTAGCAGAGAACCAGGCCCGGCCAAAGGCGAGACAGGAAAGGGGCTTAGGGGCTCAGGGCCACCCCGGGGCCGGGGGTAGACACGGAAGACACCTGGGTCATGGGGCAGGCGGGCCAGTGGGGGCCCACGGAAGGCACCCAGCTCCGGAGGGCCTGGAGGTCGGGTGCGGGGGTCCTCTCCCAGTGGCTCCTCCAATTCTGAAGTGCCATCGCTACAGTCACTGACTGAGCCACGGCCCAGGCGTCGGGCCACCACAGCCGAGAAGAGGGAGGATGAGGACGAAGGGCAGGCCGACGGTGAGCGGGGGTCCTCAGTGGGGGACAGCACCTCAGAGGGTGTTGAGGGAGGGAAGCGGAAGTGGCTGCCACCCGATGGCACTGGAGGGGCACTCTGGGGCACTGTACCCCCTGATAAGAGAGAGGAGACATGGTGTCAAGGCCACTGGCCTAGCCTGGACATACAGACCAACCCCTCCCCTCCTTCAGAGGCCATGCCTGCCAGGTCTGGTACTCACCAGCCAGCCCCACATCAATGAAGGGGTAATTAACCAGCACCAGTTTGTTGAAGTTGAACTTGTAGGTGAACCGCTTCCCCTTGGTCTTGTGCAGAATGCGTTTGTTGTAGTAATAGCTGTGGGTGTAGAGACACCATTGGGTGGTCAGTCACAGAGGACCCAAGTCTGGACCCCCATATCATGACATGCCTTAGGTGCTGCTCATGAAGGGAGACTGAGAAACCTGGGCCACGAAAGAGAAATCAAGTACCCAACTCCCTTTAGATCTGGGGCCAGACTAGAAGCCACACCCAAGACTGCATTCTCTCCGCAGGACACCTCTGTGTAACAAACAGGTTTAGAGAAGGTTTAGGACTTGCCCAAGGTCAAACAGGTATGATTTGGAAGAGCCAGGAGTCAAGCCCAAAGCTTATTCCCACGGGTCAGGGGCTCCCCAACTGGCAGGGAGCTGTCCACATGTGCCCAGGGGCTCCGTCCTCCTCACCGCAGGGCCCGGCTTAGCTTGTCATAATTCATCTGGGGCTTGCACTTGCGGACACCCCAGAGCCGGGCCACCTCGTCGGGATCCTTGATGACAAATTCCCCGTAGTCCCCCTGCCAGGCGATGACACCCTGGTACTCCTCCTTCCGCAGCAGCTCCAGGATGAAGTGCCACAGCTGGATCTGCCTCGAGCCAGGGGACGACTCGGGCTTGTAGGCCCAATCCGGGAAGGCAAACCCTGGGGACAGGAGGCAGGGAAGCGGCCCTGGGTGAGAGCGCCAAGTCCAGGGCTCTGGGTCCCCTCCCAGGGTCCACCTCCTATCCCACCTTCAATGTGGGGAAATCCATCTGCCTTAAGCCAAGTCAAGACCTGTGTAGGCAAGGGAGACAGTGTGTGTGTCTGTGTGTGAGGGGTCTAGATGGGGGGGGGGGGGGGCGGGGCGGGTAGGGGGGAAGCTGGAGCCTGCTCCAGCGACACCGGGAGAAACAGGAAACCGACGGCGGCGGGTCCCGGGGCCAGTGCCAGGGGGCCAGGCACCAAGCCAGGCCGACGGGCAGGGCTGCCAGTGGGGGAGGGGCAGGAAGGGGCACACGTGGCCAGACTGGTTGGGGCAATAGCCCCCCAGATCCCTCTCACTGCCATTCAGGGCCAGTCATACTGCCCCCCCCCTTCTGCAAGTTCCTCTGGTCCCCTCCTAGAAACATATACTGTCTCCCTCCCAAGACCAACCAGAGCCCTTACTCCCACCCCAGGACCCGAGAGGATTTTTTTTTTTTCTTAAAAGGACCAGGAGGGGTGGGGTGGCTGGTTGACGATGAGGTCAGCGCTTACACACACAGAAGCTTCTGTCTTCCCTGGAGAGTGAAACCCAGACTGTCTGAGACAGGCCCCCCAAGCCCGGACCCTCTGTGCTGTACTGCCCTCCCCAGACCTGGGCACATGGGCCCAACCTGGCTAACAGGCCCCAACCCAAGCCTCAATCTTGAACAAGCACTGCTCAAGCCTTTCTCCTCTTCTGCCTTCTCATCTTCAGCTTCTTCCCTGCCCACCTGCCCACCCCACCCCCAGCATTAACCTTGGATAGAGGTTGGTGGTGGGCTGGCAGGTCCCTGGAGGGGGTGGGCAGCCTTGGGGGGGAGGAGATGGGGGGCTGCGGTTGTTGTCATTTCCCAAACCCCCGGGTAATCAAGGACCATCAATAATTCAGCACTAGGCAGCCGGTAATGGAGGGTGGGAGGAGGGAAGGGAAAGAAAGGAAAGGGGTGGGGGGAGGCAGGACAGGGGCCTTGGTGCCACTAGAGGGAGAAGGCCAAGGTAGACAGCCAAGAGTGGGCGGGGTCCCAAGCCCTAGTCAGGCTGTGTGGGTCAGCCTCTCTCCAGACTAGCCCTGGCTCAAGCCCCAGCTCAGGCAGGTACCAACCAAGCCTGGGGCAATGCTAAGACTCCACCCTAGTCTGGAATCCAACAGGGGACTCCTCCTGGGGACACAGGGGATCAGCAGTTCCTGCTCCCACAGGGATCACCTCTCTAAATCCAGAGCTGACTCTCCCCCACAGGGATACAGCTCCCCCTCTCTTCACCAGCATTCTCCTCAGAGTCCTCGCCCCATTCAGAAATCCCAGCCTCAAACCAGCCCCTCAGGGCTCCAGGGATATAACCAACAGCAGACACCAACAGACACTGCTCCATTCAGAAGTGACAGCCCCTGAAAACGGTTCCCTGGACCCCTAGCATCCATAGCCCCATCCTTCTCTCAGGAATCCAGGTATTCACTCCATTATACTCACCCTGCTAGAGAACCCAGGCCCCAGAAACCCTTGGGAACACAAGTGACCAAATCACTAGCTCCATGGACCCTCCAACCTACTCCAAAAAGCTCCTGGCTCCACCAGGGCGCCAAGCTCCATGTTCCTCCCACCTAAACTAAACCCCAATCTGGCTTTCGAACCCAGGGCGGGGGGGGGGCAAAGTCCCTGAGACATCAGTCTGGGGTTGGAGGGGTGTGCTGACTTCCACCCTGCCCCCCAAATTAAAGCCACCCTTTCCAACCCACCCACCCCAGCCTCCTTGTCCCGGTAACCAGGCAACGTGTGTGCAGCGACAGTCCTGGGAGCGGGGGAGCAGGAGGCTAAAAATAAACTTTGCAGAAGAGAAGGAGTGAGAGAGACTATATGCAACACAAAGGAACTCGGAAAGGAGGTGGGGGACTCTGGAAAGGCCTCAAGCTGCATACAAGGGGCTGTCCCAAGCCCCCTTGGGAAACACCCCCCCCCCACAACCCTGTTCAAGGGCCAGGACCCTGGTTCGCACTCCTGGCAGAGACCCACCCCACTGCCAGGCCCACCCCTATACCAGCTTTCCTCATAGGACATGGCATACATGAGGGCCTGTTCCCAGCTTTGGGGGGAGAAGGAAGAAGGGAGGGTGACGTCAGGGTGTTTTCAATGGGGCTCTGTTCCCCAGGCCTTGGAGCCAGGAGCCAGGCACGGGCAAGGGGAGTAGGGAGCGTGTGTGACTGTGTGCTGTGTCTGAGTCCACGTGCTTAAATCAGAGAACCACCAGGCCTGTACCAAGAAAGCTTAGGAGTGCAGGACCTCTGGAGCATGGGGGGACAGTAGCGGCAGGGAGAGAGCAGCTGACACTGAGAGGGGTTCAGGACCTTGTGAGACAGGGTGGAGAAGCAGCAGCAGACAGACAGGAAGGGCTGTTATGGCGGGGTCCCAGAAGGCACACCTGGGTCCCACAGAGGCGGAGTAGAGATTCTCCCTGACAAACTGGAAACCGGGGGAAGTGAACTCCCGGACACTCCCCCACCACAAGTTCACTTGACTGTCCAAACTTTTTTTTTAAGGGACTAGGGGGATCGGAAGGGAGGGGTAGTGGTAGAGGAAGAGCATGCTGGCCTCCTGGGGGGGGCCCCACCACCTCCCCCACTCCAGGCAGCCCTCAGTGGCGCCAGAGCCGGGAAGAAAACAGGAAGTGGGAAACAGCCGCGGCAGGAGAGAGGGGCCGGGATAGAGAATCGGATGGAGGGGCTAACAGTCGCCGACCAGGAGGCAGAGGAACCGACGCACCGACAGACGACCAGGAGGCCATGCCAGGCCCCCATGCCAGGCCCCCCGCCCCTTCCCCCAGCTGGAGAACCCACACCCGGCTCGGCCCCAAGACAGGGTTGGGGGAGCAGCCCAGCCGGTCCCACCAGAGGAAGGCCCGAAGCAGGGAGGGAAAATGAGGTGGGGTTGTCTGTGGGCCTGGGCCCACTCCTGGAACAAGGGGAGTCTCCTGCTGCCCCCCAAAGCCCAGCGGCCCTGGAGCCCGTGAGAGCGGAGAGATGTGGTTTGCACGTGACTGACCCTTACAGCACTCCGCACCCCTGCCCCAGCCCCCCTCCTCGGTCCGGATCCCTAAGGGCCATCCCTGAGCGCCACAGCCCGACTCCGAGCCCTTTAAGAGCCGCCCCCACCCGCCCTGCGGGGGGGGGGGCGGGGTGGGTGGGCCGGTCGGGGCACACACCCGCACACAGGAGCAGAGCCGCCGCCGCCGGGGGAAGGAAACAAGTTTGAACAGCGGCGCCCGGCCCCCTTCCCCCTCCCCCGTCCCCGCCCGGGGCCGGATTCCGACGGGGTAGACGGGCGGGGGGCGGCTGGGACCCCTCCCCCCAGCACGCCCAGGCGCAAAGTCCAGCCCGCTCTAGCCCGGGGGCCGCGGGGGAGGGGAGGGGGGAAAGTCCGAGTGGGAGGGGGGTTAATCCCGCTGCCCCCCGCCCGCCAACCGAGCGGGGGAGGGGAACCTTGGCCCCTTAAGGAGGAGCAAGTTGGCGGGGATGAGGGGGGCGGAGGGATAAGACGGCCGGTTGAAAGAGAAGAGCTGGGTGAGGGAGGGGGTAAGGGGGGAGCCTCCGTGTCCACACCACCTTCCCTACTCCGCTCAACCCCCAGCCCCCCTCGCGGCGGGAAGAGGGTACCCAGGTCTCTCCTGAACCACCTTAAAGCCGCGCGTTCTAAGGTCGGAAACAAAAAGTTCCTTTTTCGAACGTTCGGGCTGCGCTTTGGAACTTTGCGACTCCGCGCGGGCGGGGGAGCGAGGAGCCGGCGGAGACGGACGGGGGAAGGGCAACGTAGCCCGAACCCCGAGTACGGGATCCTCACTCACGCCCTCCTCCTAAGGCCATCCTTGTCCCACTCTAAGCCGGTGCAGGGCACGCACTGCGGTGAAGGTCACGGGCCGGACCGCGCAGCACGGAACCAGGGATAGCGGGCCCCGTGGACATCCCCCCCCCCACGCCCAGCACACGTCCCGGCCCCCAGAGTGCAACGTGACAGAGCAGCGGGGAGGGACCCCGCCACCTCGGTTATCCCGGGAGTGGGGAAGCCCAGCTTTCGGGGTCCAGACACGGAGAGGACCAGGACTCGCAGTACGTAAACCACTCCGCCCGGAGCCAGAAATTGGGGGGTCCCATGCAACAGCCCCCCGCTCACGCCTTGAGATGCAACAGGTCTCGCGTGCTTGGGGGTCCCCCAGAACTAGGGATCACTCGGGTTCGTCCGGAACCCTTCAGCCCCCCCCCCCAAAGTTTCTCCGCCTGGTTTCCCAGGGCAACAAGTCTCCCCCACACGTGCTGCCCCCGCCCCCACCTGTGTCCGCCGGGGTCTTCATGCTGGGGGACCCGGGGCGAGGCGCCCCGACTCCGGGCCGCAGCTCCCGGCGCCCGCGCTGCCCCGTCCCGTCCTGTCCCACGTCGGTCGGGCCGCCCTCGCCGTTTCACCCGGCCTCGCCTCTCAGAGCCTCTCCCCTCCCCGCCGCCGCCTCCCGGGTTAATATCGCACTCCGGGGCCGGGACGCCCACGCCCCCCGACCGGCGACGTCACCGCCGCGTCGCCATGGAGACACTGCTCCCGCCCCCTCCCAGCGCACTCACACACTCTCTCGCGGGCGCGCAGCCACTGAGGACTGGCCGGCTCTGGGCTTAAAGGGGCCGCGCGACAGGGGAGGAAGGAAGGAAGGAGGGGGTGGTGGTGGGATGGGGTCCCGGGGGTCATAACCCTTCTTGGAGACTCCAAGTCTGCAGATAACTTAAGTCCTCGACACTCGCGACCTGCTGCCCCTCCTCCTCTCCTGCCCACTGCGGGATCCAGATTTTCTTTTGGGAGCCAGTAAGAGGAAAGGTGGTACCTTCTCAGGAAAGGGGTCAACAACTCTTGTAGGGAGGAGGCAGAGACCTTTCGGGAACAGGCAGAATCTTTTTTGCTAGGGGGATGGGGACGACCGGGACCTCGGAGGATGATCAAGACCACATTTCCCAGTCTGGCTTTACCCTGCCCACCCCCCCAACCCTGAGTCTGAATGGGGGCAGCTTCCAGAGGTGGGGTGGGATTGGTAGGAAGCATTTCCCAGCATCGGAAATGGGGAGGCGGCTATTCCCTCCGCTCCTCCGGGGATGGGGTCTTGGCCTTCCAGATAGCCCCAACCCCAGCTGGGGAGGAAGTGACCGAAGAGAATGCATTCGGGAGCTCCCTCCTCCATCCCCAAGCTGCAGCTGTCCTGGGGACACGGCTGACACCGGAGGTACCCCACCTCCACCCTCAGGGCCGGGGGTTCCGGGGGTGGGACCAGGATGCGAGGGGGCGAACCAAGTAGGAACAAATGTGCTCCCAAGGGGCACTGGGGGGTCGCCAAGAGAGAGGAAGGCAGGGCTTAAGGATGAAGGCCAGCGCGTAGGGACGTGTTAAGTCTCTGTTCTCCGCAGCCGGCAGCAATGCATGGAGCCTGAGGCTTAGGGAAGCAGGAAATCAGAGATGATCAGATGGCTAGCCGGAGCTGGCAACAGGGTAGAGGACACATAGAAGCAATACTCATAGGCCAAGCCTGGAGGCAGAGTCTAAAAAAGACTCTGAGGTACCAGAAGACGGGAATATGGGGGACAGGGTTGCTCAGAGAGGCTGAAATCCAGAAGATGGGCAGGGAGAGACAGGCTACAGTGAGGGAAGGCCTGCAGGGTCTGCTCTGGGTTCTTAGGGCTTCAAGTCTAACCTCTGTTGCTGGGTTCCTAGCTGTGTTACAGCAGTCCCTCATGGGTGCCTCAAAAGTCTCAGGCCTCTTCCTTGGAGAGACCAAGGACTCCAGGGAAGTTCGAGCCCCTGGGGAATTAATTATGTAACCGCGCCTAAGGCCAGTGCAGCTCCCCCAAGGATATTGTAACCCTCTGGGAGGTGTGTGGTCCAGCAATCATCATCATCACTTTTTATTTATTTTCAGAGAGAGAGGAGAAGGGAGGGATAAATAGAGGGAGGGAAATATCAATCTGTTGTGCCTCTCCCACCCCCTGCTGGGGACCTGGCCAGTAACCCAAGCATGTGCCCTGACAGGGAATCGAACCAGCAACCCCTTACTTTGTAGGCTGGAGCTCAATCCTCTGAGCCACACCAGCCAGGGCCATCATCATTGTTTTTATAGCAGCTCTCAAATTCCTGGGCTCATGATGTTGGCCAAACACTGTCTGAGGCATCATCTCATTTAATCCTTACAAAAGTCCAAAGAGGGGAATTATTATTGTTATAACCATTCACAAATTAAGAAAATGAGGCTCAGAGTGGAAGTCAGTCTGCTAAAGTCCTACAATCAGGAAGTGTTGGAGCTGGGATTCAAATTCAGATCTATCCAATTGGAAACCACCACCCTTAACCACTAGGCTTTAGTACCACCTTTCCTGCTCAGCACCCCCCCCTTAAATAAATATGCTAAATTTCAAAGATAAGAGCCTTACTGATCCCTGCCCTCCCACCAGCAAATCAGACACCTGGGTTGCAACCCTAACTCTGTACTTCCTGTCTATGACAGAGCCAGTGTACCTCTTTGAGCCTTAACTTTCTCATCTGTAAAATGGGGATATTAACAGAGCCTACTGGACCAGGTTGTTGTGAGAAATCAGGACATGAAGTAAGTATGCAATAAATACTGGTTATAATTATTAGTAGAGTGAACTATATATTCCATGGATAGTGTAAGCACCCCTCACCTTACACTCCAGCCGTGCACACTGAACACACAGCATTGACAGTGGGAGACTGCTTATTGATGGCATAATCCCACCCTGACCCAGTTGGGTGACTCAATCCCAATCCCACTGCTTCTGTGAAATACAGTCATGGATATTGGGCATGCCTCATGGGAGTGTCTGAACCACCACACACAGAGGATGAGAGTCCCTGGTGAAAATATCCCCTGGGCAGTGTGACCTCTGGTGGCTGGTGAAAACCTGTCCACAGATATTACAACCTCTTAGAGGTCCATGTGACTTCCACATAGAAGTGTGGACCCTCTTGGATAGTTCAGTTACTTCTTGAACACAAAGAGTCACCCCCAGGGAAGGCAGACCCCATCATTACTACATGAACACCCACATATTGTGAACTTGTGTTTAAAACTATTCGTCACCACTGATTCCTTGAAGACATACCATGCAACCATGGCCATATCAACTCCAGTGACCAAGGGGACCCCATCCCCAGTTCACTATGGAAAGCCTCCACGAATCCCTCTGGGGCTGGTGAAAACCTCTCACAGACCCGGGACTAGCCTGTGATGAAAAGTGTAACACTCCATGAAGAAAACAACTCTGTCTGAATAGCAAGGACACCCCAACCTCCCACAGACCTAGCAGTCCTTGTTCCCATTTATTGTCCTGAAACAGATAACATTTACCCTATTGTCAGGCTAAGGCATGGACAGAACCTGTCCCCGCAGAAGTTGCAACTATTCAGACTTCACTCCGGGAAATTGTGGGGACCATAAAAATCATAGTCACAAACCACCCACCACCCCTGTGAAAGATAATGAAGTGTTACCCACTCTATGAACATTGAAATTCCCTTAGAAATAGTGTGACCCATCCTATAGAGAGAGTATAGCTACCTAAACAGGTGTGACCACTCCAAACAGAAGACATAAACCTGGGATGGTCTCACCCTTCTGCATCTCTCTGACCTGAAAAGCTGAAGGGCTCCAGGACTCAGTCCCAGGTCCTCTTCTCGTTATGTACAATCTCTATGCTGATTGCACCCAACTGTCTATTCAGGACTCTCCCCTAAACTCCATCTCACACATGGAAGTACCTCCCCCCACCCATTTTGCTGGTTGCTCAGGCTGATGAGGCTGAATACCTTAGAGTCATGCTTGACCCCTTTCTCTCATCTGACATCCAATCTGGAGGGAAGTCCCATCAGCCCTATCAGCAGCCCTATCATCAGCCCCATCAGCCCCGATTTTAAGATTTCATTTATTTATTTTTAGAGAGGGGGAAGGGAGGGAGAAAGAGAGGGAGAGAAATATCAATGTGTGGTTGCCTCTCATGTGGCCCCCACTGGACCTGACCTGCAACCCAGGCATGTGCCCCAACTGGGAATTGAATCAGCAACCCTTTGCTTTTCAGCCTGCATTCAATCCACTGAGCTACACCAGCCAGGGCTGCTTTCAGCTTTTTAAGAATCAGCTACTTGCCACTTTCACCACCATACCTGTGGTCTGGGGTCTTCTCACTGGTCTCCCTGATGCCACCAGCCCCTATACTCTGTGCTCCGCCCACAGCCAGAGGGGTTCTAGTAAATCAGAAGCTGTCCAAACCTAACAGCTGTCCCTCTGACCACTAGGAGTAAAAGCCAACTTCTTGCAGTGGTCGACAATGCCTTTCCTCCCCCACCTCACTTCTTACTTTTCCCTTCATCTCCAGCTTCTTGGCTATTTCTTTTATTTTTAAAAATGTTTATTCATTGATTTTGAGAGAGAGAGAGAGACATCAATTCATTGTTCCACTTATTTATTCATTCATTGGTTGATTCTTTTATGTGCCCTGATAGACCAGGGATCAAACCCAAAACTTTGGTTTATGGGGATGATGCTCCAACCAACTGAGCTACCCAGTCAGGGCTTGGCTATTTCTTGAACATGCCAGACGTATTACTGCCTCAGGGATTTTTGCCAATGTTGTTCCATCTGCCTGAAAGGCTTTTCCCGCAGGAGTCTGTATAGCCCTGTCACTCATCCCCTTCAGGTTTTTACTCAAAAATCACCTCCCCAATAAGATCTTGCCTGACCTTCCTAGACCCCAAGCCCCTTTTATTCCCTATTTTTTGCCATAGTCCTTATTCTCATCTGACATGTATTTCCACAGTGCATTTGTTCATTTGAATCTCTCCTCTTTAGTGGCAGTTCCAAGAGGGTAGGGATTTTTTTGCCTGTTTTGTTGCCTGAAGTATCCTCCAAGCCTGGCATGGTGCCTGCTGATCTATGAGGGAATAAGCTCATCTTTGGACAGTGAACTCCCTACTCCCTATACCCCAATGTGATACCATGAATGTAGCCCCAGACACACGGAGACACCCTTGTGGACAGCTGATGCCAGCACAGCCCCCAGAAGTCTGAACCCGGATGTGAATCACATAAATGGGGTATGCTTACCCTACTGAGTGTCAGCTCCACAAAAACAGGGGTTTGGTGTGTTTTCTTCACTCATTCATCACTGGTGCTGAGCCCCTGGTCTGCCATAGAACAGGCTGGTGATACATATTTGCTGACATGAACTGAGTAGACACACAGCTGGTATCACCCCACATCATAACCCATACAGACAGTACAGTGTCCATAAATGATATAAATGCCCACATACAGTGTGACTCTCACGTGGACAGTGTAAATCCCAAATACACAGTGCTCAAAAACAGCATGGCCCACAGAAAGCTCATACAGATGGGGTAACCCTCATAAATGACATGAGCTCCATGTAATACAGTGCAACGTTCATAAAATGTGTG